ACAACCAAAAGGATACGGCACATACGAGGGCGGGATGGGTAACATACGGTCCTGGCTGAGGATCGTTTATTATTGCCGGGACGAAAGGGACATCAGGGGCGGAAAGATTATCCCTCACGTTATAGCAACTGTCATTTATGAGCAGAAACTTGCCACCATCTTCGGGGAGTTAACGGGAATCTGGACAAGATAGAAGAGGAAGTATTTGTTGTATAAATAACTAGAGTAGTAAGGATGACACCGACCGCGAGGATTGGGTTTGGTAACGAGATGACGGACCGAATTTCGATGACCAAACGAACGGCCTTAGAAGCGATCCCTTCCGATTTTAAGCGATAGGCATGGGAAGAAAGCCCGGGTGGAATCGCATGAGAAGAATCGCATGACGGGCAAGCCGCCCAGCAATTTGGAGTACCGAAGGTGTCTTGGCACAACCGGCGCCGAACACGACGACAAGCTGGCAAAACCTCGGCCATCCGAGCTTTTCCCTGCGACGGTTGAAAAGATGCACTCGTAAGACGAGAGGCGATATGTTCCGATGGATACCGGAAGCTTAAATCCAAAAGGTATAGCTTTCGAGCGTTCGATTCCGAGAGAGTTGATTCGGTATGCCAGTCCAGGTCAATTGACGATTGCGGATTGGGAAAACCAGCCGGGATGCCGGTTTTCCTCAATTTTGAGACTATATTTACCTCGCTGACCTTGGCTGAGGGCGTTGGGACATCCAGAAAGAATTCCATCCTTCTTTCATTTGGGGAAAACTATCAAATACGCAGAATCAGCGGGTTTGTGGCTCTGGTAAAATGCCTCAGCGCCCAGAAAGCCTACGACCACTTGCCTACTGGAATTTGTACCTGATCCTTGCCCTGATCGAGCCCGCTGTTCTATTTTGCTGGACTCTCCCAGGCAAGCCATTTCTCGAGGCCGTGGTACCAGCAAAAGAACCCACCTTGTGTTGTAGTGTGTCCCGCACCTAAACACAGGGGACGCTCGGGAGGATCAGAGAAATAGTATTGGGGGCTGGTTTGAAAGGGTGTCGTACACGGAGCGCCGTTGTTGAAGCCTGCCGATCACGCCAGGTGTAAAGCGACCTCATGCGCGTCAACCTTGAATAGGGATTATTACACCACTGTCTAAATGATTGGCATGGGGCCGCGGCTCGATGATGGGAAGAGCCAGGCGGGACCCCACGGTCAATTTCATATTGTCCTAGAAAATTGTTTTATTTGGAGAGTTCCATGAGAGTTTGATTGGTACCGAGAGTGCAAAGACGATGTTATCGCCCTGAAAGAAGTAGAATCGCCAAGACCACCGCAGTTTTTAGACTCGCGTGAGCGCAGAAATCTGCGCAGGCTGGGAGAATATTACGGCCCTCCTGAATATGCATCAGGTATCCTCCGTTCATTCGTTTGTCAGCCGTTCGGAAGGAAGACGGGCGTGGGATCGAATTCGTGTGCATACAAGCAGAAGAATCCTGTGCCGAAAGGCGAACGCATTACCGAGGTCTATTGAGTCAGAAGTCCACATTGACTGCAAATCCACGTTGCTTCCAGCAAATTGAATTGCTAGTCGATAGTGGGGACATAAATGTTGTCCCAAAGAGGTAAAGACGACGGTTATCAGCAGCAGTATTACCATGTGTTGGAAGTCGTGCCAGGTCCTAGGAAGGTTTGTTCGACACCGGCAAACGACGGTTATCACAGACCCGGGAGAGCGTAATTCCAAAACGTACAGTTTGGTGTTTCTTGGTCGCGAGCAGCTGGTCTTCCCAACACAGGATGGATCAAAAGTCTTGCTCACAAGGTTATGGCGCGGAAGACATTACTGAGCAACCCATGACGTCGAGGAATGTCTTCGGTCTATGGACGGGCAGTGTATGGAAACCAAGGTCGCGGTCCTCGGAACACGACTTACTTGTGTGAAGAAAATGCTCTTTCCCGCTCGCGTGAAAAATCACAATGTCAGGCGAACCAATGTCGAGTCAGAATTCCTTACCAACTGTCACGAATCCAGTAAATTGAATTGCTAGTCGACGGTGCAAACATCGCGGTTTCATTGTCTCAAAGAGGTAAAAGCGACGGTTATCACTATGTGTTGGAAGTTGTGGCTGGGGTCCTACTTTGTTCCGAAACTGGAAAAAGCCGCTATCAAGGACCCGGGAGGAGCGCAGTTCAAATCGTACACTTGGTGTTTCTTGGTCGCGAGCAGCTGGTCGTCCCAAAACGATGTCTCAGGCACATCACGTCTTGTTCACAAGATTGTGCACAGAACACATTGCCAAGGAACCCATGACGTCGAGGAATGTCCTCGGTCTATAGGCAGCAATAAATACGGACCAAGGTCGCAGCAATCGGAACACGACTTACTCGGTTGTGTGAAGAAGATACCCTTTCCCGCAAGGTGCGCGTGAAAAAAAATCAATGTCAGGGAATCTTATATCAAACAGAATCAAAACCTGAGAAAATCTATCCATACGTTACATGAAATCCTCCTCCAGCTCTCTCGCAGTTTTCTTGCTGGCCCCGCTTCCCTCGCCATATTCTTCCGGATCTACTCTGAACAGAGAGTCGTAAGATCGTGCGGCTTTCTCGCCTCCCGAGTGCGCGCAAGCTCCATGTCCGCTTTTTTCTGGGGCCGAGGCAAGTCAGAGACACTCTGCGTGTCCAGGATGGCTAAGCTAGCCTACCTTCTCGGCGGCGGCGGCGCGACGCACAGCCGCCTCGCGCTTTTGGCGGTCGACCCGCTCCTGTTCGTGGTCTACAACACGTTCGTTCTTGGTCTTGTTCAGACGGTTCACGATGGCATTTTCGCGTTGCAGGACATGTACTGTGCTGATTAATGAACGGGAATCCGCTTGTTCCGCCAATCGTCATACCTCGTTTAACCTGCAAAGAGTTTAATTACCATAAAGATCCAACGAGATGGCGAACCTTCTTGTCACTGTGGAAGGAGACTTGCCCGACCGCCATGTCTCCCGTTTTCTAACGCAGAAATTTTGAACCGGAATTAACCACTGAATCAAGCAGCGAACAAACAAACCTTCAGGTTGTCTGCAGGCGTGTATATAATCGTGAGATTGTCCTTCTTGTTACCTACCATCACACTTGAGACATATGTATCAGCGATACAGGCAAGGACGGAGCACCCTCGATCGAGTTGGCTTTGACCAGTTGAGCGCAGTCCTTCAGCAGGGCTTCAGGGATTGCGGTCCCAAGTCATGGACCCGTCTTCCGGAAGGCGCACGTAGACGTGCGCAGAGGAGAGTTTGTCGACATGAAACCACACATCCCCGGGATACGCATATTTTGATCAAGTCCTCATCTAGAGCCTCGATTAGCCGTTAATCCAAAAAATAAATATAGGCAGGAAAGAGAGACTGATCCTTCCGCAAGTGAAAAAAGAAGACGGTAGCAGCAGGGGACAGAGCTAATATGATCTTTCCAGAGTTCATGAATCCGGAAGCCCGGCGACTGAAAACGGAGCCAGTGTTCGATGAATACCTACTCTCAACCTTATCGCGGCCCATATACAAGGTTATGGGGGGGTTTACGACTGGATCAAGTCAGTTATTGCATAACCCGAGAAGTAAGCAGCTTGCCCGTTGAAGTGAAAAACAGGACCATGGTGGCAAGCGACAAGAAGCAGCACGTGCAACAGCCTCCCCATCGATGTCAGAAACACAACACACGCAAACAGGTGTATCTTGCTCTGATCCACTATGGCAGCAAAGTACGTTCGTTGGTTCGACTTGCACAAAACGCTGTCTGAATTTTTAGCTCAGGAATCTGGCGACGTGTCTATTCTGTAAAATCATCAAAGGCGCGTCCCTAAATTCAAGTGTCAGCTTCGTTCTCAATCGGTGACCTTGTAGGCGAAATACCGAGTTTTCAAGCTCATCGAAACCGAGTTATCGTGAGGAACTGATCACAACGCATGGTTCTCCTCTGAAAAGTCCTGCCTCAGCTTCTCGTTTTTGGACATCGGCCCGTTGTCCAAGGGCCATGCTCTGGTGATGCTTGCTTTGCAGGCATTTTTCCGTGTCTAATTGTATCTCTGCTCGATGAAGGTGATCCCAAAACGTCAGTTGAATTTTCTCACCCACCTGCATCTGGCTTATTCTGCGTCTTTCAGACCACGCGGAGAAGCTGCACCAGCTTCCAGATGAGTATTTGGCAGACGCTCTGCCGATCGCGAAGAAGATCGCCATCGCGCAGGGTGCAGAGAACTACAACGTCCTGCAGAACAATGGGCGTCTCGCGCATCAGGTATGTCCGATTCGACCCCCCAGTATTTCCAATTCAATCCATTTCGTGACGGCAGGAGGTCGACCACGTTCACTTTCACATTATCCCCGAAACCCTCCGCAGAAGAGGGCCTTATTGTCGGATGGCCTGCGAAGCCCCTGGGCAAAGAAGAAATGCAGGCCGTGTACGAGGAGATAAAGGGAAAGCTGTAAAGGGAATGGTCAGTGTCGTTATTTCTGCAATAGAAATCATGTGCTTGGCGAGGTCCGAGGAAACGTTCACGAAAAGTGAATTCGCATCCGCGGTGATTATGCTATTTTTTGGAGGCGGTGACTCGGAAGTTCAGCCAAGCGGTCAGATGAAGAGACGGCTCAGCGAGATACTCAGATACTTACGGTCTGTTTTGCCCCGAGACACGCATAATCCTTCAACCGCAGGTATCGTTCACCCTGGGAGACTGATATGACCACTGGGGACCGGGCATGTCTCCGTAGTTGCCCCACCAGCTAAAAACACACATTTATTCTGAATCAAAGTTCAAGGACATTAACATCGGAGAGACGCCAGCTGGACTTCAAGATGCTCAGCAACATTGTGCCAAAGTTCCCAAGTTCACAATGATTTGGTTCTTTGCTGTTTAATGTCAATCACTATTGAGGAGCGAGTTCAAAACACATTGAAGCCTGTCTGCGAGACTAGGCGATCGTAAGATAGATGGAATGTTGCAAGCGTAAAAAACCGCGGATTGTTTTTCTATTCCAGTACGGGGAGTCGAACCCCGGGCTAGTGCGGTCGACATTTCCCTCTTTTCTGAAAGGCACCGATGTTACCGGTACACCATACTGGACACGAAGGTATGGCGAGCGAGGGATGAGACCGATGGTTCAAAATTTCAAGTGCCTGAAATGAAATCCTTCATCAAACTGATCGCATCACTAACGTAACGCACGGACCACGGTGTATCGCGCGACGCGTCTTGTCTTCTTCCTTTTGAAGCCTCTATTCCACACTTTGCTCCCTCTATTTGGCGGTGGGGAGGATCGGTGAAACGACGCGGAGCCCTAGAGGGGTCCATCCCGATGCGGGGCAGGCTCACCAGCATCAACACAGTACACTTTTAACTGTCGGAAGATCCTGCCCGTCATACCTCCAACTTTCCAATGCATGGCCATTGGCGTCTTCCAAGTACCTGTACACGTGTTTTGGCTCCGGTGTTTTCTGCCAGAGTCCGAATGTACCGCGCAGCTCGCGTTTCGTCTTTCCTCCGAATACGCCCGTCGTTGACGTTATGAAGCCGCAATATTGTCCGAGGGTTGACACGATAGGCTTCTACATATGTGACCGTAGTGGTCCGCTGGCTTGGGTTGGCTTGCGAGCCCCGGCTTTGGCTTGCAAGCCACCAGCTTTGGCCTAAGATTCTCGAAGCCAAAGCCCCCAGCTACAGCTTGGCTCGCACCTTAGTATGGGGGGCCGATATATCACTGACCTCTAATTGTCGGAGAGCTGTGATATATCAAGACCGCTAAGTTAGAGGACATTCTGATATATCATGGTACGCTGAGCTTTTGGGCTGTCGATGAATTAATTTGTACTGCTCCACAACGGCGAGGAACATCCGCATGTTGATGGCATCGACAAAGATCTGCTTGACGTCGCGATCAAACGCGATCAAATGTCGTCGTCGTTGCCGGCGACGATGAGGATGAAATGTACTTCAAAATAACCAAAAAATCACGAAAAAATTATAGCATATGGAATGTGTAGGTAGAATACATACAGGATGGCAAGTAGGTACAAAAATGATATTCCGGGACGTAAAATGCGGTTTTGAGTGAAATTGCGCCGCATTGATTTATATGGATTTGCGCCACCAGAACAAATAGCAGTGAGGGAGCAGGCCATACACCGTAGTTGACCTGTTCGTGACACTGTAGGTAAGCGCAGCACTCCCCGTGCGTCCGGGCACCATAGGTGCCACGCCCGATCCAGCGCCGCCACGCCCACTCCACCTCGGGCATTTGTACGCGCCACGCCCGATTCCAGCTGCACATCCGTCATACTCCCCAGTTTCTCTCCCCTTCCCCTCCATCGCCGAGGGAGGGCTGCAGGTGAGGGTGATGCCGCGATTCCAGTGTTCGCGCATCGCTCCGCATCTCCCTCTCCGCTGGCGCTACTTTCCACACTCATCCGGCTGTGCCGCACTTGCCGCGCACGCCCCGGGTGGTTGCCACTGCATCCCTGTACGCTACGCCGCACGCATCTCCACCATCGCGCCGAGCTGCGGGGATGCAGGGAGCGTTGGCGCTGCCCTTTCTGCGCTGGCACCACACCTCCTTGCCCTGCCACAGAAACACAACACCCCAGCGAATGTGAATCGGGACAGCAGCCGTTCCCCTGCGCTTCGGGGTGACCCTTGTTGGCACTGCACACCCACCAGCAGTGGCGCAGCGGCAGCACCGTGACAAATCATTACCCCAGGTGCACGGCCCTCTCGATGGCACACTCGCGGCCGCGTAGGTCCCACCCGCACCGTAATGGTGGGACAACGGTAGTGCACTAGCAGCGCCGACAAGTGACCGTTTCTAACAGCGCACCGTGGGCGTGTAGACGACTTGCCCAAAGACTTGAGGAGGAGACGCACCGTATCGTGTGGGGAACAGTAGTGCGGCGAGTTGGTGGGGAATATATGCTGCGAACGGGGAGGAAGCGGAAGGCCAGCATCAAACGATGCTTCTAGTTACTTTGAACGCACCTGGGGTCCCAAGTTCCCGGACTTTGCACCTTCTTCGGAGTCTTTGCAAGATTTAACGCCAAAGATGATTCGGCGTATAAATGGTCGTATTTCAGGGGCTACGGTCCCTATCGAGTGCCCAGAGTTTGTAGGTGAGTTGCTTCGAGAGCTTCCAAGAGATCCTGACGAGATTTAGTCATGCCAGAGGAAGTACCAGGAGACAACCGCAAGAGATTGCGTGGTGGGTGAAATGGCGTGTAGCGAGACATCGGTGGGGTGAAAATGCTTGAAGCGGGAGAGCTCTGGATGCCCGCAGTGATTTACAAGAGAATGAGGGGTGAGCCGTACAACGAGGAGACCAAGAAACAGCTCTGGACGGGAGGAAGTCGTGGTGGAAGCCAAGACATGTAACATTTGTCACACCGGGTAACGCTGCCGAAACGTCCGGACGGGCGCTTGATGGGCGCTTGACGTGCACGCTCACAGAAAGTTCGGCTTCGGTAATTTGCGCCCTGCACTTGCGAGCAATTCTGAGGAGACAGAATTCTTCATAAACATTAACCATACCTGAGGAGGCGAGTAGATTGGACTTTTAATCGATTTGCATGACAATAACCACAGAAACATTGGACATAGGGCCAAATTGGCACGCGCACACGAAGAAAGCGTTGAAAACGAATAACTTCGTGGGATACTCGACATCTGAGGGCACATATGAGGTCCACGAGCCCCTCCGATTCAGAAAATGTCAAAATTCACGCTGGTTGAAAAAATAAAAATAAAAATAAAGTCGCAAATGGGACGGGGTAAAGGTTGCACTAAGATGTTGGCTGCTTCACCGTCACTTTTATTCAACTTCTTGAATTGCCTCAATTTCTTCAAACCACCTTTATTTTCTCGATAATTCAACATCCTACACGTCATTTATGATATTAGACCCCAAATATATAGCCAGGTAAGCACTCACCGAGGAATTTTTGTGTGCAACATGCGTTAGACGCCCGCTAAGCGCCCGTCGGAACCCTGCCTCCGAAGAGCCGAAGCACCCGAAATGCCTCCAATCTCACTCATTTCACCGCTTCCTCTACATTCCAAACACTTGTTAAGGCACAGAGGATGTCAAAGGTAATATACAATCATTCTTCAACATATACAGTGATAATACAAACGTGTTTTCATTACGGCTCGAAGCATTTACATGTGTACATATTCTTCCGGTTGTCTTTTTAACCGCACGGAATAGATGAAGGGGCGTGCAGTAGGAGGAAAAGTAGAAAAAGACAACATCGAACACGGCTGAGGAAAGGGCGTAGTAGGCGGGGAAAATACAAAGACGGCCGGGCCCAAGAAGGGTGCAGAATAGGGGGCAAGCACGGGGAGGGGCATAAAATGTGTGCGGGGAACAAGTGTGCAGGCAGCGGGAATGGAGCGTGTGGATGGTGGGGATCGAGCGCATAGATGGTGAAAATCGAGTACGTGGATGGTGGAGGTCGAGCGCGCGGACAATGCAGAGCGAGCGTGTGGGGTGTGCAGAGCGAGCGCGTGGGGGTGTGGGATCAGGCAGCGGGCGGTGGGCAGCATGGGGGGCGGGTATCGAGTACGCGTAGGATGCGCAATCAACGGGCAGGCAGCGAGGATCGAGGGTGCGGACGGCAAACGCGAACATGCTAGGGAGGGGAGGAGCTGACTGGGGAGAGACAAAGCCAGCCAGTGTTAAAGGTAAGCTAATTATCGAGCACTGGGCAGCAGTGTTGTGAGCGTGCGAGCGCAGTGGCCGCAGCAGGAGGGACGCGAGTGTGCGAAGAGCATGGGAAAACGTGTGCATCGAAGCAGAAGGTAGTCGCACAATAAGCGGCATGCAATGCACAAAATTGCGGATGCAGGGGTGCCCAATGGGCATCCAGAATGCTGGGGTGCTGGGGAACGAGTAAGCGCGCAGCTGGCGCGGAAGCGGCGTGAGACGCATGGGAAGCCAATTTAGGGTAGCCTGGCCACTCAATGCGACGAGTTCAGACAGAAAAGAGGCCGGTGGAGGCCAGTACACAATGAAGGGGCGTGGAAGCCGCAATGGCCAATTGCGCGGCCCGCAGGTAGATTAGAGAGCTCCAAGGGGGGGAGAGTCAAAGTGAGATATGGAGGAAACTTGAGGTGGAGTTTCGAGGTAGCTGGAGCCCAGGAGCTGATTTAATTCGCAATGTGGTCCGGGATAAGGGTGCCAGCGCAGCGCCTATGCTGCGGTATCGAGAGCCCATAGACACCGGAAACTCGAGATAGTGGTGGAAACAAGTAAGAAGAACATGCTAACGAAGGTCAAGAGCAAGCAGGAGGGCCAGAGGCGAAGGGGAGCCCGTGCAGTAGAGGGCAGAAGCAAAGTGCGAATGGTGATGGGAACGAAATGATCGCCCCGTTTGGAGTGGCTGTGGAGCGCCATCAATTGAGGCGGGTGGCGGGGACAACGGTGGGCGCCCAAATCGGGCGGAGCATGCGCGCAGGCGGGAATAAAGGTGAGCTGATATATCAGACTCACCTCTAACTTAGAGGTGTTGATATATCATGACTCTCCGAAGATCAGAGGTCCCATGATATATCAAATCCCCATATACGGCTGTGGCTCGGCCCGGCCACGGCTTCAATTGATTCTTTACCCGCACTGTGGAGTATGTTGAACCACGAAAAACACTTGGAATTGCTCCTGAGTGTTCACAGAAGTCCTCATCCAATTTTGGGCGGCCTGTATGTGTTTAGACTGGAAACTGAACCCGATTCAACATCCCATCAAAATTTCGAAATTGCTCGTTCTGGTCTCGAAGTTGAGGATCCACGGGCCAAAGTTTATTGGACGCCATTGTGAGTCGCACTTTCACGAAAAAATGCATACCACTGATTCTGATTTTCCATACCAGAGGTGATTATTTTGTGCGGTAGTCAAGCCGCGGCTCAACCCACAGCTTGTGGCTTACCAACCCTCAAACCAAAGCCAAAGCCGTTTCAAAGCTGAGATGCATGGCTTGGCCTGGCTTGACAAGCTGCGGTTCTGGCTTGACTGCTTGACGGCTTCAAGCCAAGCCAGTGGACCACTACTGATATGTCTGCCCGAAACGGCGAAACCGCTTCTG